ACCCATTACCTTTCAGGAAAGCACATGAAAATCTGATAAACCCTTACAGAGTGCTCTCAATGAGATAAAATCTAAGTTCAGAGATGGGGGGGGGGGGGGAAATAACCACAGAGCTATACACTGATGGTTTGACATTTATAGTTTTTCTACAAGCATTGCCACTTTAAGTTCAGCATGTGAGGACTTACTGACTCTCCTGTCCAAAATTATAGTGAACAATCTTTAAAGAAAAATATACCATATCTGAATCTTCAAATTCTTTTAAAGTTTTCATTTCATAGCTAACACTAAAAAAAAAAAAGAGCTAATTTTAAAGACCTCTGAAGAAAACAGTCAAGAATGCATATTTGATACATACAAGCTCTACTTGAAAAGTTTTACTAAGCTGACTAAAGCCAATATAGAAAGCACATATCTTCTGGTTAGGATAAACTTAATAAATACATTACAATTTTACGGATTCTTCCGAACTGAATTACAGAGACTTCAAAAACAAGGCACCTTCCATCTTATGTAATCACCTTGAGGAACTACTTGGAAATGCATTATAGTATTAGAGTATCTCCAGTGCCACGTCCTTGGCAACAGGGAGAGGAGAAAAAACTAAATTCTTTTCAGTTTTGAAAATTAATGTAATATATTCATAGGTTCAATAAACTGAGCTATTTTAACATCAGTACCATCCACTGACACGGAAGACTGCTGTACTTAAGAAAATTCACTCCAGCTCCTCCCCCACATATTTAATCAATACTTGGGAATTTGTAATTGGCTTATGTTTATACAGCATTATGAAGATGTAAACTGCTGTGTGACAACTAATGATGAGGCTTAAGAAGCATTCATCAGCTTTGTGTGAATTCACAAACAAACAAGTAGCTCTTGAAAGTATTAATACAGATCACTATTAAATATCTCATTCTATTCATTTTAAGAGATTGCCCATGAACCTTCTGAAACATGCAATTTACATGTACAATACCAGCTTTTAAGAAATCTAGAAGTACTGCAATTCCATCCTAGCTTTCATTGTTACTGTTTCTGTTGAAATTATTTATCCTATTTAACACCAGGAACTACAGTATTTAGTTAATACTGAAAATGAGTGCCAATTCATTTGAAAAAGTGGCTCTAAATGGGCACCTCAGCCTGTAGTGCTTTTTGAAATTATAATTCACCATGTCATTATTTTTATTTAAAGAACAATAACTTAAAGACTTAATGTTCATTTCTACAATCTGGAACTTGTCCCAGGAAGGACAGTATAATCTGTGAGTAAAACTGCTGAAGAACATTGATGATCCAGACCTGCAAATGAAGGCCTGTATTTCCTGTAACACTCTTGAAAGCTTTTATTCATTAAAATTGAATCAAGACCACATAAAGGAGAGAGGCAGTAAGATACTGAATCAAATTGAACATTTATTCTACTGGTGAAGACTAGCAGGCTTTTTCTCAAATACCCCAATGCAAAAGAAGAAAGGAAACAATACTGTACAAAGACTTCCAAAACTAGCACTGAACAAAACAGTGAAAGGAAAAATGCAGTGAAGGGAAAGCTTTCATTGCATGGAAATGCATTAAAGTGATATAATTAACAATTAAGCTTACAAATGTCTGAGACTTAAATTCTTAGTTTGAAGCACCTGCTGATTTAAGGAGACAAACCCAAAATTTCTTATTCACTGCACAAAAATAAGCATATATTCCCATTACACACAAACTTTCAATAACTCTGTAATTTCAAAAACCATATTTACATTTGTGATAACACTGCCATGTTAGAATTTTAAAAGTCAATGAATGGCTGTAAAAACACAGAATAAAAAGAAAGATTAAGAGAATTATTGTAACTTCACAAGCTCCAAAGCTGCGGCTTTCATTTTGTCTACATCTTAAAAAAAAGTTTCTCTGAAAATGAGTTTCAAGGTATAGCAGCAATTTAAGAACACCTTAAGAAGGTCTTATTAGAACAGGCATTTCTTAATCATTCTGAGAAAAGTTACTCTTCTACATTAAAAGTAATTGTATAGATGAAACTTATTTCATTTAATAAAAGCCTTAACTTCAGAAACACTCCCACTTGTTAGCTCACTATATACAATTCAAAACAAATTTGTTAGTGTTCTATTTCAGTAGAAAAGGGCGAAGATGAAGGCTGGAATGTTTTCATTGTGTGATTAAAACACGTTCTACACAAATTTCAGTTCTACATGAAACACTTCCATCCTGCTTTCAGAAATCAAACTCTCCAATTATATGACCTTGGAAGTCCTGCGTGATCACTGAAGCAAAGGATGTAACACATGCCAGTTCCAAGTAACAGTCCTTTCGCTTTAGGACAGGGTTGAATTAGACAAGCTTTCTGGGCAACACTTCTCAGACAAAATGCAGTAACCTTTTGTTTATTGTTCATTTAATATAACAGTTTTACAATGTGAGTGTCAGTGGGAAAGAATCCACTGTATCTAAAAGCTGAGGAGAAGAAACAGCCACAGGTTGTCCTGGATCCCTGCTTCCTCAAAAGGTGAATCCTGGCTGTTGTGACCATACCTATGGCTGGAGTCTGGCTAGTGAAACGAGATGTGAAGAAGTCAGAGCATGGAAGATCACTTGACCAAAACTACCCTCTTTCAAAACATTGTAAAGTCACAGACAAGCAGTACAAGGGTTCAAATATAACTGATTACTCTGCATTGAACACGTTAGTCTGCCATGTATCTGCAAAGCTGTAGCACTAGCAGCAAATCAAAATAGTTGATAGATAGTTGGGGTGGTGGGTTTTTTTCCAGTGGAAGAACATGAAGTTGTTTCCTGTCACAATTCCACTGGAATCTACTGATCAAATTACAGATTGGAACCTAGACGAAACAGGCTGTATTTACAACTGCTGTCAATTTGTAGAGCAGCTCCAGATAATTCACATCATGCACTGTCTCTCATTTTTGCCACTTGTAGGAAAATACATACAATTAATTTCCTGCAATTGTCATAGCACTTTCACATAAACTGATGGAAAGCCCTGCATAAAAGAAAAATCTTGTAAGCTTGTGGATGCAATTCAGTATTGAGATCTTAAGGGTTAGAAAACCTGTAATTCCAGGTAAGAGAGATTTAAAAGATTTAAATAACTTTCTACTTTCCTGATCTGGGTCTACCAAGAAATAAAGTTGAACCCACTCATACCTATTCAAGCAACTCAAGTGGCAGTAACTTTTTACTGCTTTTCTGTGAGCAGTAGCCCTGACCAGAATCATTACAAATTCTTTGCTTGTTTCCTATATTAGAATTTGCAATAGGTCCTTGATAATATCTCACAGCTTCAAATTCTATTTTCTAGCCCCCACCTTTTTTCTGACTTTGTTTAACAATGTATAAGAAGTTGATTACTTGTGACCTCTGGTAATAGATTAAGAGACCCCAGTTTAGATGATGAGGGCTTGCAGCATCAGCCCCTACCATATTTCATCTGCTATCACTTCCTGCTACAACAGCACATCATATAAGAAAAATGGGTCCAACTACAGAGGACCAGATGCTTTCTCCTTTAGAAGTTAAACATAGACAGTAGAAATGCAAGCTTCTCTTGTGTCTGCAATGAACAGAGCTAGGCCTAGACCAGTAAAGGTAGGCTTCTCTGTAAGCCAGTTAAATCATCAACCTATCCATTAAAGCAATCAGCACATTTCTTATAACAGACTTTCCAGATATGGATATACAACCATGCTACAGGAGAACATAAGTCTGTGACAGCTTAAAGACAGGAAACCTAGAGTTTCATATAACTGACACTGACGCAAGTTATTCCACAGACCTCAATATCACCAGGAAGTTTTTCCACTTTGCTTTGTATATAATTAAAACTAGCCTTAAGTAATCTCTCAAAGGGACAAGCACTAGAAGTCTTAACACAAAAAGTCAGATGCACAAAAATGCATACAGGTTTTATTCTGATCAGTGCTTATCCTATAAATATTTTTTTTTTTAGAATGCCTTGATTTACTGACTCTGTAAAATGAGGACTTCGATGAAGTCATGATGACATTCAGTGTAATTGTACACAACTTGTAACATTAAGAGGTTTATAGAAGAGAGAAGGAGCATACACAAACCTTGCCATGAAATGGAAAGATTAACAACACTAATAGCAAAGACAGGATGGGGAGGCACAGAGACTTCTTACAAAGAAGTGAAATATCACTAGCCCAAGAAAATTTTTATGCAAATGAAAACTGAAGAGATGGAGTGTAGCCTAACTAATTGCGCTGAGGGAAAGGAACTGAAAAACAGGCACATGCAATGAGCTTCTGCTATGAACAATATATTAAGTGCCAAGTGTACACAGACAAAACACTGTTTTCCAGGTTTTAATGTAAAAAAAAAAAAAAACCAAAAAAAACCACACACACACACACACAAAAATAATCACAAAAAAACCCAACCAAACCAAACAAAAAAAAAAAAATCAACTTACTTATCTACAGCTTGGAAAGAAAATCTCAACAGAAAAATCAATTATTATCTTTTTTTAATTGCCTTTTTAAACAAGTTATGGCTATTTGAACCAGTGTAAGCAGAAGCTCCTTAAAGCAAACTGCCACTCAATCACTGGCAAATTCTGATAAGCCCAAACACTGTATGACAGAAGATACAGCTATTAAAATAGTATGTTGAAAGCTACTTCAGTAACTGTTGTACAGTACACAGTTCTAGTGGAAACATTCAGCTATGGTACCACTCACTGAGTTATAAGCTCAAAGTTCTGACAGGTGTCTGTTTTAACTAGTATGACAGACAATTGATACCAAAACATATGAAAGCAAACCAATTTAAGTAAGCTCTAGCACACTGTTTCTAAAGCTGGGGGAGGGGAAAAAAAACAAACCAACCAAAACCCACAAACAAAAAAAACCAAGAGAACTAAAACTAAACACCACCACAAAATAAGAACAAATCCTGTACAATTCTATATCAAAACTTACATGAATAGTTCAACTTACTCTTTTACTGAGGCAGATAACTGGCCACATACTACAACCTAAAGTGCAGCAGCAGCAAAGGCATCCACATAGTAGCCATCGTACATTAACTGGAAGGTTCTTCTTAAGACAACTGTTAACTCTACTGATGCTGGCTTTAAATTCTTCAGGTGCAACCTACAAAGGAAAAATAAAACAAAACAAACAAAGCAAAAAATAAGATAGTACTACAGCAGTGCTTTTTATTACTTTTACAGTGATCTACACCTGGAACTCTTGTAATAAAATCTTAACTCTGATTTCAAATTCCTATTCACAGATACTCACCTTTCCAGTTAAAGATGAAGGAAATTCTGCTTCAAATTTGTTGCTTAGTCCAAATCTGCAAAACCAAAAATAAGATCATACCAAAATTAGAAATAACTTCATTCCATGCCACAAGTTATAAGCACCTCATAATACCCTCTGGGTTTGTATCACAATAGCATTAATTTCACGGAAGAAGTTGTTGTTAAAAGTAATTCCTAAATTTATCTTAACCAACAAAAGTACCCCGCAGTACACAGTCTGAAATCCACCTTGCCTATAGCCTTCTTCCTAAAGTTTTGTTGATACTGCTGACTCTTCCCCAAACTCAGCAAAATCTTTATAAGCAATATGCATGAAAAGTGAAGTACTTGTCACAGTTTGAATTATCTCTTCCATCACCAGTAGAGATGTACTTAAAGAAAAGCTCACCTAGGCTGTCCTAAATAACTGTTCTACATATTAAAACTGAATCAATACCAGCTTCCTTATTCAGAAAAAAACATAATAAGTTTCAGAACACAAAAATACTACCTAAGAAAGCATTATTTTAATGATTTAAATAATTATTTAAATGGTAACTAATTTCAAAGAAACACACTGATTACAAATGTAAAGCTATGAAGGAGTCTGAGATGAGCTGGAGTCATTGAATATTCTAGGTTTCAGAAGATCTAAATAGCAGAGAAGTTTCACTTAATCTATTAAAAAAAAAAAAAGAGGTTTCTATCTTACAGTTCGCTGGTTGAGTTAATGAACGGATAAACCTCAAAGAGTATTTTAATATTTTCTGGCATCTAGCCTGGGCAATAACTTCTAATAGAAACTATACAGTCTAACAAAGTAATTAGTAAAACTGTATGACTGGCTACTAGTTCGGGAAACAGCAGTTACTGTAAAACTTAAGTTGTAATTAATAACCTTATGAAGATAAACCAAAGCAGTCTTACTATCAGATACTACAAACACCACAAATCAGAAATTAAACTGCTCAAGACTTGAATACAGGCAGCAAAACCTAGCACACAGTACTCGGTTGTAGGCAGAAAAGCTTACCTGAACTGTGATAGTTGAAAAAACCTGATTTGTTTTGGCAGTATGTTTACTGAGCAGCTAGGTGTTTCTTGGGGTTTATTTCAGGTTTCCTTCTTACTGAACCAAATGACCTGCATGCTAATGGAGAACCTTATCCAAGTAATCAAATGGGCAGTTAAGTGCCATACCAGTGTTGAGCTACTGTGGAAGGGCCTCACAAAACCCAGTGGACAAAAGGTGACAGATGAGCTTCTGCATATATAAAGGCCGTGAATCTTGGAAAAGCTGAACTATACTTACATGATACTCAACTGAAGCTTGGTAGCTACAGCTCACAAGACAGATCTTTTATCACCAGTCACGATTCTCTTAAATACCTGCTCAATGCAAGCAGCAGCTGCCAGAAATATTGGCCATCACTAGGAATAACAGGATTAAGGATTAAGAAGCACACAGAGGCCATCATTTTGACTCTCCATAAAACCCTCATGTACCCATGTATTCAGTACTAGGTGAGGTTCTTGCATCCACATTTAATTGAGGACTTGGTGGAGTTAAGAGAAAGCAGAGAGAAGGAAAACTAATATAATAAGGGAATAAAGAAGCTGCTTTAGGAGACTGACAAGGCTGACGCTAACCTGGGAAAGAGAAGGCTGAGGGGGTATATGAACAAAGTGCAAAGATTCAGGAAGGCAGCGGGTAATGTGAATGATTGACTGCTAATCACCAAATGCCACAACAGAGGGCACTCACTGAAACTAGTCAGATACTGGTTTAAAACATAAAAAAAGTGCTTCTTTAAGCTGTAAGTAGCAAAATTCTGTGGTTTTCCAGTTGAGATTAATGATGAACACTGTGACAACAGATTTGAAGACAGACTACACAAGTTCCCTGGCAAATAGACGCTAAGGGAAAGACGATGCTGAAGTATACATCACCTGCCACAACTGCAGATGACAGTGAGTACAAGAATGGACACCAAGAACAGCTAGACTTGCATGCAGCCCACAAGCAGCAACGCCTGTTGCCTCAGTCTGCACCAGCACACTGGGCTATGTATCTTGTGAATTTGACTCTGTAGGCAATTTTTATGGATGGTCTCAAGGAAAAGTAAACAAGTTATCTCCCTATCACTGGCTGCAGGCAGTAGAAGCATAATTATTTAGGACTATCAAAGATCATCTAGTCCAACCCCATCGCCACTAAACCAAATTGCTCAAAGCTCTGTCCAACCTGGCCTTGAACATTTCCAACAACAGGGCATCCACAACTTCTCTGGGAAACCTGTTTCAGTGTCTCACTACCAGCACCATAAAAATTGTCTTCCTTATATCCAAACCAAATCTACACATCCTGTTTAAAAACACTGCCCTTGTGCAGTTAGTTACTAGAGGCCCTGGTAAAAGTCCCTCTTCAGTATTCTTACAAGCCTCTTCAAAGGTCCCAATAAGGTGTCCCCAGAGACCTTAGTTACACACAAGTTACCTAAGCATATATGAGTATTTGCAGTTACAATAGTAGCTCTGTAACCCCTTAAAACTGGTGAAGTTACAAATTAACATTGTTCACCAGAGAAATATATGACAAGTTTACCACTTCAACACAAACCAAAGAAAACCAAGACTCACTGGAAAGATACTTCCATCACTGCAAATCCTGTTGAATACTCCATGACAGGAGAACCGTCCACCCTTCCCCTAAAATCCTGAGTCAAATCAAGTGCTGAGGCAAAAGTTATGTAAGCATCAGAAAGAAGTGTCATGCCCTGTCAGTTAAGCTACTTAAAATTGTCAGTAAGGTGAAGTGGAACCAAAGCCTGAAAAAATCCCTTGGATCTGTATACACTTCATAAGCAGCCAGGAGCATAAGAAGGACTCCAAGTTCAAGATACACAGCAGGCATCAGAAGTCTCAAAACTAAAAGGTAACATCTCTTTACTATATAAGTAATTCATCAAATCAGACAGATGTCTGAAGAGATGTCTCTTCAAAGAACGATCTTCATGTACTTGATGCTTCAACATCCAGAAGAGATTTTCTATGAATAATGGAGTTAAATATAATTTTGAGCAATAAGGGAATGGCCAACTACAAGGATAGGATGATTCAGTTCAAAGCAGCTCTTGTTGTACGAACTAAACCACAGCTGAGCCCCTCACCAACACAAGACAGAATTTCAGCTATCCCTCTACCCAAAATAGTAAGGAAGAAAACCCTTTACCCTGAGGTGTGAGCAGGTAAGTCAAAGGCACACAAAAGTGTCCCTGCTTTCAGTTAAGTAACGAAAAGATGTAATTGCAGGGAAAGCCCTGTTCAGTCTCATGCTGAAGACTGGCTGGGAAATCAGCAGGACACACACAAGGCTTTTTTGTGAATGCATGATCCAAAAATATTCACACATTGAAAGCCTCAAACACAAGCAAATATTTATGGAGATTGCAAAAGCCATGTCAACAAAGACAACCCTACTGGAAAAGCTCTAGAGGTACCTGAATTTACAAACGGGCTGAGGCACAGTGAGGCACAGAAACTTCTGAGTTTCTTCACCAGTTACACTTTGGTGAAGTTATAAGTAAATGACATCAAGACTCCATACTTGAGGATTGTGGCAAAATTTACAAGTGTTTATGGTGGGATAGCAAAACTGAAATATCAAAGCTAACTCAGCTACCAACAGCATTCTGAGACTTCTGTATTAGTTTTGTCACCATATGCAAGTAGCAAAAAATAGTGACTCCATACACTAAAAGCTTTGATAAGCTTATATGATCTCAGTATTATAAATCTTGACTGTAAGCTGCAATTTGGAAATTAAAATACTAGAAACTTCACAGAGCACTACAACATGTTCACTATAAAGGCATAAAAGCTCTGACAAAAAGCAACAAAAGATGTCTTAAAATCAATATTCTGGAAATCAGTATTCTGGAAATGCATTTACTTAGCCAGCTGTCCTCACGTAACACTAGATTTCTTTTCTACAATACTGCATCTTCAGTGACAAGTACCCTTCCCTGCTTGCTCTATGCTTTCTGCATTCTACATGATGTCTTCAACAGATCCATGTTCACCTCCCAGGTGACTGCTTTCTTTAACCTTCCTGGAACCTGGAAAAGTGTTTCTTGAACATGACTCTGCTTGAAAGGTTCGGCTCAGTTACTGCCCTTGTGTACAGTTCAGAAAGAAAAGCTGAGAAGTAGAAATGTCAAACTACAGAAGCTTAGAGTATAGGACACAGCCAACCTGCAACCTTTTCTCAGCTTGCAACTCAGATATTCACAACATAAAACTGACACACTATTCTCTTCCCCTTTGACCTCTCTTATGGGGACACTAAACCATTTTTTCATTACTCTTAACCATACTCTTTAGTTCTACATGTTCACAGCCGTTACAAAATAAATATGTATTCCACAAATCTTAACACACTCTATCTATAATATCCACACAGCCCTGTTTTCACTCATATGCCCTTAATACAGAGTAAGGTTCAAAAAATGTATCAGCAGAATTAAGTTTAAAGAAATAGATTTGGGTAAAAATATATTTTGTGAGGGGTTTTTTTCTCTCCAAACAGTTACATTGCATCAACACAGAATATGCTAAGATGACAAATAGCACAGAAAGACATTCATTAGCACATCACAATGGCTTTCCAGCATTCCAGCACTGCAAAAGGCTAACAAATCCAGTATTACTACTACAAAATACAGTTTGCTACAGACTAGCTAATACAGTCTGGTACAGAAAAGGCACATATGTCTCATCTAATCAAGGAAGAGGAAAGCACAGGAAAACAGCCACTGAAAAACACAATCAGACACCAAATACAAATATTCTCTTGCAATTTCAAACTCATCATGTACCCCTCTTTCCACCCTGATTTTAGAAGCAAGTATGAAATACCTTGGACTTTCAATTCAGTTCCAAGTCCTATTATTTTCTCAGCTTTCAGGTTTCTTGCTATTGAAAGAGATCACCTCAAGTTATCAAAAAACAAGTCAAGTATTACTCCAGACTACTGATTTATCTAAATTTTGCTGATGTGAAAACAGTTTAAATGAATATTAAAAAAACAATGTCAAAGAAAAAAAGTTTTGGAATTGTGTGCCGCATGGTCCCAACACTGAGTTTCAGAAGAAAACTTAGAGCTAACAAAAAACCCCACACTCCAGAAAGGCAAGGCCTTTGTATGTTTGATTTGGATAGTATTTACCCGCTGTCCTTAATTTGCTTTTAACTGCTAAGCTTAGAAAGGTCTCTCACACACTTCCGTTGTCTGCTGGATGAAACCAGTGGTAGTAAATGTCTTTCTGACATTAATCTGTAGGCATGGAAATGACATATTTCAAACTCAACATTATGTAAGACTAGTGGACAGACTGTGAAAAGAGAGCTTCTGTTTAAATTCACACCATGCAGAAGAGTGTCAGCCACTCTTTAAACAGCAGAGCCAGGGACAGATCAATCCAGTATTTGCTTAACTGCAGTTTTCGTCAGACGTTCCAAACTCATACATGTTTTTATGCCAGGCCAGACTAATTCATGACATACATAAGCCTCGACCTGTTCCTGAAACCCCCCAACTGAATGTTCTGACAGTGATCTAACTAATAATAAGCATCTCTGTCAATGACAAAAAAAGTTATAGGCTGTACAAAGGTAAAAGTGGCTGTTGTTATTTACTGAACTGGTCACACCTTGTGCAATAAAGAAAGTAGACGAAGATGAATTGCCTAATTTTTGAGGTACATGTTTGCATTTCATTGCTCATCCAAAGCCTAAAGTGCAAATATTTCAAGAAAGACCTTAATGTAATAATGAGGCAGTGACCATTAATGAACAATTAATGAGGTAACCATCCTTCTTCAACCACAACACCCTTAACTAGTCATAGACATGCTACACAAGCTTCTTACGATTCCACTAACGGGCCATGGCCTTGTCTCACACAACTTATCTCCCAGTATTGGAGAAGAAACTAGTGCTTGCCTCTATTTCAGTTATTTATACCTTTGCGTTTGCTAATATGAAAACTGTGGTTTTGCCGTTTACCAGAAACAGGCTGAGGCTACCAGCTTATTTTCAGAGAAGTCATTGAATGGGTAGCTTTTTTTTTTTTTCCCTTTGTTTTTTTTTTTTTTTACAATAAACGGTCATACACTGAACAGCTTGGCTACATGCTTCTGTTCCTTTATGGGGCCTCCTCAGCCTCCTGCCCATCTACGTCCTTCCAACCCTCTCTCAGTCTATCATGTCTTACTTCCTGTTGTTAACCAGACAGTAAACTGCACTGCCCAGCTGTTAGTATTACTTAATGCCAACCAAACATAGCGATAATGTACTAATGTGCCAGAAAAACACTCCAAATTTAAGCCTGATCTTCTGGAAAGGTCAGTATCTGCAAACCAGTAGAGTTTATGGAACTCTGATACAGATCACAATACCTTCAACCTCTATGCTTCTATTGCAAGCCTAGTCTTGCTGAACAGCGAACACCTCGAAAAAAAAGTTCACACTGCTGTGTTTTGTCTCCAGGTCGATGTTTCAGTTTCTGCAGCTGTACATCATAACTGACAACCACTGCATTTCGGTAGAGTGAGCCTAACAGAACTGACTGAAGGAAAGACACTCTCTGTTACATTATTGATAAGTTCTACACTAACTCACAGACACTTGCTGCTAGATCATCAGAGATACTAAACACTCACAAACAGAACTCACAGTCACTCCCAGATTAAACACAAAGAAACAACACATCAATCACAACTTAACATGATTTTACACATACCTATCTGACTCACTGATACCTTTTCTTTCTTAAAAGTCCTCAAGAGCTGTATTAGCGGCCACATGTCAGATGGGAATGGGTAACAAGATACATAAACAACACTAAGCAATAGCCCAGCCGGTCAGGTGCCTGCATATACCTGTTATACACAGGAACCTTACTTCCTGACAGCTCATCATTTTGGACAAATACTTCACATTCCTCTGCTAGTCACAGCTCAAGTCAGCCTTGCTTCCTCAGCGCCTCGTTTGAGTTTTGCACCCGCTTGCGAGACCCAGGCAGCCCCCAGCTGCCCGGCGGGGCCGAGGGCCCCTTCTGCAGTCCCATGGAAGCAGTAACGGCCCAGCAACCCACTCATCCGCCTCCCCGACCTGGAACCGCTGTCGCCACCAGCTCCAGGCCCGGCACCCAGGGGCCCCTGTCCCGCCGCCCAGGCCTCTACCGCCCGCCCCGGTCGCGCAGGCCCCGGCGCGGCCCTTACACGGTGACATGGCCGGAGCCGCGCACCACCACCGGGTCAGGAGAGTACTTGAGGAGCTGCTCCTCTAGCGCCCGTTCCTCGTCCTCCTCCTCCTCGTAGATCTCGTCGAAGTCCGCCATAGCCGGGCCCAGGAGTCCGCTGAAAGAGAGAGGAGCCGGGACGGCGCGACAGGGCCAGCTGCAGAGGCCGGCAGGAGGGGGCCGGCAGGGACGCCCCGACGCCGGGGCGAACGGCAGCGGAACCCCGGCGAGGAGGAGGCGGTGGCAACAGCAGCAGCGGAGGCAGTACCAGCGGCTCCGGGCGAGGAAGCGCCCGTCACCCTCCGCGGGGGGAGGGGGCGAGGGGCGGGGCAGGAACAACAACAACAACATCCGGCCGCGGGCCCTGCCCCGCGTGGCGGTGGGCGGAGTTGGGCGGGGCCGCCTCGGCGAGAGGCGGGAAGGGGGGTTAGCGAGCGCGGTGTCACCGTGGGGGTCGGGAGCGGGTCTGGCCCTCAGTGGTGCGCTGAGAGAGAGGGGTGGGTGTTGGTTTGTGGGGGCAGGGTGTGCTCTTATCCCAAGTTTTAGCCCCATTTTGGGCACCCGCGGAAACAGCCGAGAGGTTTGGAGGTTTCCGATTGTTGGTGGGGTGCACGTTGGGCCCTCTGGCTTAGCTCAGCGGGATGTGAAGGAAGCAGCCCTCACACAAGGGTGGCCTGTTTTGATGAAGGCTGGTGCCAAGTGTTGGCATGTACCGTGGTGCTGTTAGGGCCTGGGTTTGCCATCTTTCTAGTAGCTTTTGAGCCCTCTATGGAAAGCACTACACCAAGACTGGTTTTCATGGAGTGCAGAGCAGACAGATTGCAGAGGAACGGCCCCATTTAGGGTTATATATATATGGAACCTAACTAGAAAACACTGAAAATGAACGGGAGTCATAGAATCATAGAATAGTTAGGGTTGGAAAGGACCTTAAGATCATCAAGTTCCAACCCCCCTGCCATGGGCAGGGACGCCTTGCTCTAAACCATATTACCCAAGGCCTCGTCCAACCTGGCCTTGAACACTGCCAGGGATGAAGCATTCACAACCTCCTTGGGCAACCTATTCCAGTGCCTCACCACCCTAACAAGAAAGAATTTTCTCCTTATATCGAATCTAAACTTCCCCTGTTTAAGTTTTAACCCATTATCCCTTGTCCTACCACTACAGTCCCTAATGAAGAGTCCATCCCCAGCATCCCTATAGGCCCCCTTCAGATACTGGAAGGCTGCTATGAGGTCTCCATGCAGCCTTCTCTTCTCCAGGCTGAACAGCCCCAACTTTCTCAGCCGATCTTCATACAGGAGGTGCGCCAGGGTCCTGATCATCCTCGTGACCCTCCTCTGGACTTGTTCCAACAGATCCATGTCCTTTTTATGTGGAGAACACCAGAACTGTACACAATACTCCAAGTGAGTCTCTCACGAGTCTTGTTCTCTCTCTGCAGTTTTGGTATTTGTCATAACCAAAACCTAAAGCAGAGGCTGGAAAATAACAATGAGCGTAATGGCCTTAGCTACAGGTAGGCTGTCTCCTGTTGTGACAACAGTGGAAGGCAGCGCCAGCGTAGGATTTAGCAACAGCAGGCTGACATTTTAAAAATGGAGAAGAGATCTTTTTTGTTTGACATGGTGCACTAGTGAATCATGTAGTTGCAGCAGTGTTTAATACATACATAATGTCAGTTGTGAGGTTCAGCCCCAAACAGTCAAGAAACTTTGGTGCTGAATCTTCATCTCTTTTTCTTTCCCAGTACTTTAATATGTGTATCTTAATTACAACAGCCCCTTTCTCATATAACATCATTTTTCCTCTGAAACCTGCAGTTCTTTTTTTTTCTTGTCTTATTACACTATATATACTGATCAGCTTATTTTCTGAAAGACTGTTTCTGCTTAATCTTTGTTATTCATAAAGATGCTCATGGTGTATTTCTCAGGAATAAAATGTACACAAAGATGTGATGGTGCTTACTGCTCTATTCAAAACCAGGGTAGAAGCAGTGTGGTTGTGAGACTGTCCATGGCACTGTCTTTGCCATAAAGGAAAAAATCAGTATCTTCTGCTGTCACGCTGGAAAAGTGTGACAGTATTTCCGTCATGAGCTACTTGCAACAGGTTTCATTTACTCAAATAACACAGAATAACACAGAATTCCTTTGAGTACTAGTTTGCTTTCATACTAGTATACTTACGCATGGGGTTTTTTTACCTAGTTACTGTTTTTGCATCTGTCTCACATGTAGAAATTTGTTTTACCAGGACTGATGACTCATTGTTTCTACCATCCTGAAATTGAGAAAATGGATCACATTTAATACTGGAAAAAAGCAAAAGGAGGCACACCCATTTCAGTGAAGCTATGCCTCCTTATGCTAGCTCACCTTATAGGGTGAATTTGGTAACCTGTTTGTTTTCAGCTGGCTGTTTCACAGTAGCATTGAAGGGGTGAGCTTACCTACACCACACTCAGCCCTTGTAGCAGTGCTGCAGGGCCAGCTATCCCATTTGAGATCTGAGGTCCCTGCACTGCACAGAATGACAAGCTTGGATAGCTCACTTTATGGCTTTGAGATAAGACAAGGAGAAAGAGAGTCCCTCGACTAGTTCATTGCATTATGTATATGTCATTTGCCTAACAAATGCCTGCTCTGTGGTCTGCTGTTCAGTGTGTGGTAGTCTTTGAAAAAAGAGCTGTGGCAGACAGGAAGCAAAGTGCTCAGTCTCTAGGCTGAGATGCCCATGATGTTTCAGTACATGTTCTGTAGTACCCGTGCAGTGGGGAGTGCAAGGTACTTCAGCGTATTGGGCTTTTGGGACAGGCACCAAAACTGAAGTACATGCAGCCAGCAACCACACATGAAAAATTCAATTTAAGTAACATTTCCATCATCTCACATGGCACTGTTAGAATCTTGTTTTGCAGTGAGAAATTAACCGCCTTAATCCTGAGTATGCTGTGTCTCTCTGTGTCATTGGCACTAACAGCTTGTCGTGGTTTAACCCCAGCCAGACAGCTTGTTCACCCACTCCCCCCTCTTCTTGCCCTCCCCCTACTCCTGGAGGGACAGAGAGGAGAATCAGAAAATGCAGCTCCCACAGGTTGAGATAAGAAGAGTTTAGTAACTAAGGTATAACACAAATCACTACTGCTACCAACAATAATAGTAATGATACAGGAAATAACAAGGGAAGAGAATACAATACCTCATTTGGAGAGACATCAATTTGATGAATGGACCACTCGGTGGAGAAAGAACTGGCTGGAGGGCCGCACACAAAGAGTTGTGGTCAATGGCTCAACGTCTGGCTAGAGACCAGTACTGAGTGGTGTCCCTCAGGGATAGGTGTTGGGACTGGTCTTGTTTAACATCTTCGTCGCTGACATGGACAGTGGGATTGAGTGCGCCCTCAGCAAGTTTGCGGATGACACCAAGCTCTGTGGTTCGGTTGATACGCTGGAGGGAAGGAATGCCACCCAGAGGGACCTTGACACGCTTGTGAAGTGGGCTGATGCCAACCTCATGAAGTTTAACCATGCCAAGTGCAAGGTCCTACACCTGGGTCAGACCAACCCCAGGCACAGCTACAGGCTGGGCAGAGAAGAGATTCAGAGCAGCCCTGCAGAGAAGGACTTGGGGGTGCTGGTTGATGAGAAAATGAACATGAGCCGGCTTCAGTGTGTGCTTGCAGCCCAGAAAGCCAACCGTATCCTGGGCTGCATCAAAAGGAGTGTGACCAGCAGGTCGATGGAGGTGATCCTGCCCCTTTATTCTGCTCTCGTGAGACCTCACCTGGAGTATTGTGTGCAGTTCTGGTGTCCTCAACATAAAAAGGACATGGATCTGTTGGAACAAGTCCAGAGGAGGGCCACGAGAATGATCAGGGGACTGGAGCATCTCCCATATGAAGATAGGCTGAGAAAGTTGGGACTGTTCAGCCTGGAGAAGAGAAGGCTGTGTGGAGACCTCATAGCAGCCTTCCAGTATCTGAAGGGGGCCTATAGGGATGCTGGGGATGGACTCTTCATTAGGGACTGTAGTGATAGAACAAGGGGAAATGGGTTAAAATTTAAACAGGGGAAGTTTAGATTGGATATAAGGAAGAAATTCTTTCTTGTTAGGGTGGTGAGGCACTGGAATAGGTTCCCCAGGGAGGTTGTGAATGCTTCATCCCTGGCAGTGTTCAAGGCCAGGTTGGACGAGGCCTTGGGTGATATGGTTTAGAGCGAGGTGTCCCTGCCCATGGCAGGGGGGTTGGAACTTGATGATCTTAAGGTCCTTTCCAACCCTAACTATTCTATGATTCTATGATTCATCACCAGGTGACCGATAACTCGCCCCCCCAAGCCTGACCAAGCACCAACCGATACCTCCTCCAACCCTGCAGTCCACTCTCCCTTCCAGGTAACCCTCAGTTACATCCTGGGCATGACGTGCTGTGGTATGGAATACCTCTTTGGTCAGTTTGGATCAGGTGTCCTGTCTCTGCTTCCTCCCAGCTTCCCCTCCTCCCTGGCAGAGCATGAGGCCCACAAAGTCCTTGACCAAACCAAAACGTCATTGTTTTCAGCTCTGTTCCCAGCTGGAAGTCAAAACACAGCACTGCACCAGCTACCAAGAAAGAGAAAAATGACTGCTACTGCTGAACCCAGGACACATCTTCAGTGCTGGTGCCTGTGGTACCGAAGGTCACCCTCAAAGGCACCAAGTAAACTGCCTGTTTCATGCAGCTGGCATCCTACCTCACACTGAAGAAGGTCTTGGCATGGGCCTCTCCTGTGTTTCAAGGAGTACCACATGACTAGTTGCTCCTTCTCCACTGCTGTCACCTCAGTTGTGTGCCAGACTCCCCATCAGCCACGCACTCCTGAATCCATGCCTTCACATTGCAGCTTGTGACTGTTTTGGTGTGAGTTGACCCGAAATGGTGGCACACCTCTCCTCTTTATAGTGTGTTGTCCTTTCTCTGAGAACAGTAAGAGTAATGCCAGACTCATGCTGACTGTATTTTTAAAACACTTACTCTCTTCATATCTAAATAAAAGAGGATAGGCTTGAGGAGCACTGTGCTGTGGGTGGGAGTGCCCTTCCCAGTAAATTTGCTTGTAGCAAGTGGTTCGGTGGAGAACTGGTGCCGTGCTTATGTTTGACTGACTTATTCACTGTCCTCTGAGTTGCTTTGTAAGGACGGTACACTAAAGGGGACATTAAATCATTGTCACAT